CTGGCCTCCCAGCTGGGTGCCCCAGGGCTCCTATCATCCCTGTAGGAACGTCCCTGCTCATTCCCTGCAGCGCACAGAGAGAACCAGGTGCCTGGGGGACCATCTCACTCTCCAGCCTACATATCATCAGAGGAATTACTGTCTGAACTAGAGTCACAAACTAGTGGCTCCCCAGGCTTACTGTCTGAACAGGGTCTCAAGCTCACATGGTCCCTGGGTGAGATGTGGTTCAAACAGCCTTTAAAAATTCTAAATTCATTGCCAACATTTAAAAATCAGGCGATTTCTTTTGATGTTGTAAACGTACTTTCTAAAAAGATGAATTGTTTAAATGCTATGGCAACCTGACTTGTAAAAAAAAAAACTGCATAAAAAGTAGAATCATTAAATTGTGTCCCTCTGTTACAAAAAAAAAATCAGGCAAGTCACAAAAAGAAATCCAGATTTCCAGGTGCTCTTGAAAAATCAGAAGGTCTGGTGATTCCTGCAGCAGCTAGGTGCAGGAGCTGGATGAAGCAGCTGTACAGCTTCAGGCAGGGCCAGGACTGGGGTGAGGCAAGTGAAGCATTTTCTCAAATCCCTTGCCATCAAGATAAATACTATGTTAATGATATCTTTTTAAATTTCAAATTAAATGCCGAAATAATCCAGGATGAACAAAAATACTGTACCAAATTTTTCAAGAAAGACAAAATATGCTTCTGCACTTGTGCAAACCATCGTCCTTGCCTTTCCTTAGCCCGGGCCCTGTCAGATCCTCTCCTTATCTAAAAGATTAATGCATTGTTCACCACGGCTTCCTTTGCATTAAATAGTGCATTAAGGCTGGCCAGTGTGGGCTCAGTGGTTGAGTGTCGACCCATGAATCAAGTGGTCACCAGTTCAGGGCACATGCCTGGTTGTGGGCTCAATCTCCAGTGGGGGGCGTGCAGGAGGCAGCCAATCAATTATTATCTCTCATCATTGGTGTTTCTATCTCTCTATTCCTCTCCCTTCCTCTCTGAAACCAATAAAAACAGATTTTTAAAAAAATATGTTTCTTGATGGCTGAGATTTTTGGCAAGTCCCCCTCCCCCTTAAATTTTGCACCCATGTTGAGTGTCTTGCACTCCTCACCTAGTCCTGGCCCTGCTTATAACTTTGTAAACAGCTCTGAGCCATTTAGCAAATGGAAAAACCAAAGCCCGTAGGTTCCTCTCCAGGTAAGATGGGGCTTTTAGTGGCTGCCTGTTCCCCTCAACTGATTGAAATAAGTGTGGTGGCATCAGGGCTTGTGTGGTCTCCTGTGGGGACCACAATGTTCCCATGACATCCCAGTGTCCTTGTCATAAAAGCCCAGACCCTTCCCACAGCCCACTGGGCCCTGTTTGACCCTGCTTACCTCTCTGATCTCCTTGGCTACCACCCTTCCGTCACTCCTCTCCTGCCACTCTGGCCTTCATTGGTTCCTGCCGCAGGGCCTTTGCACATGCTGTTCTCCCAGCCTGGTGCTCTATCCCAGATCATCCTCTTCGGGCTGCCCTCTACTTCGCCTTCATGTGTCAGCTCAATGTCACCTCCTGAGTCAGCTTAGCCTCCTAACCACCTGGACTCCTGTCCCCATGTCACTTTTGTATCCAGGTTTCCCTTCTTCACAGCATGTATCTGAAATGACCCGATTCAGTTCTTTGGTGTGTGTATGGGGGATGTCCTCTCCCCCAGTAGGTTATAAGCTCTGAGAGGGCAGGGACCCTGGGGTTTGAGTCCATCATTGCTTTGTGTCCAACATCCAGGAAAGGGCTAGGCACATAGTGGGTGCCTATCACATACTGGATGAGTGAATGAATGAACGAACAAATAAACAGATGGTGTCTCAGTTCTTCCTCCCAGTCTGTCCCTGAATAGACTTTATCTCTTCCTGCTGAGACACCTGCCTGGCCTAATCTGAATGGGTGTGAAGGAGGCTGGAGTAGCAGATGAGAAGTCACATGGGGGGGGGAGGGGGAGGGCAGTCCCTCCCTGCTCAGTCCCCCTGCCCTGGCATCTGTGAGTACCCCTACTCACCCGCTCTGTGAGCCCTGCAGGGAATTGCCCAAGTTCACAGATAGTCCAGGGAAGGTGTCCCAGGTGACATGTGCAGAGGAGCCTGGGCCAGAGCTGCACAGGGCCAGTGTTCTCAAAGCCCAGTCGGAAGCCCTGGAGCCCAGATTGCTCCTGCCTCTCCTTCCTTCCTCACGGCCCTCTCCACCTGTCACATCCCATCCCTCACCTCCCTACACCCACAAGGCTCTCACTGCCCACCTTCAGCCCCTCACTTCCTCATCCCCATTACTTACCCCTGTCCCTCACCTCTTCCATCCCTCACCTCCCCATCCTTCATGTCCTCATCTTTTACAGATGGCCAGCTGACCCCCCAAAGAAGGACCACTGGTGCGGAATGTAGGATCCACTTCTTTATTGCAGGAAAGACTATTTCTAGAGCAAATGCTACACAGACCCCACAATGGGGGTGGGGGTACCCACATGCAGGGGGAGGACGGGCAGGAACAGGATTACAGCAAGCACGGCTGGCACGGTCCCCAGACCCAAGGATACCCAGGCAGGACAGGCCAATAGCCAGGGTGGGCTCTGCCCCCTCCTGCTGCAGAACCTCTTAGTCCCCAGGGTCAGGGCAGGGCCTGAGGCAGGAGAAGCCTGGAGGGGCGGGGCCCCAGGGAGATTGTGCTATCAGGGTGTGTCCCTGAGAAAGGGCCGCAGACCAGACCCGGTGCCCAGCCTCACCCACTCAGGCACCTTCAAGGCCCAGGAACCACTCCCGGGGTGGGGGAGGGAGCAACACCAGCTGTTGGTGGGTCCTGGACCTACCACAGGATACGGGGACTCAGCTGTACTCAGACAGAATGCTACCAATGCTTCCATGGACTCATCCATGTGCCTGGCAGTCACACACACACACACACACACACACACACACACACACACACATTCCCTCTCTCTCATAGTGTGTCCCTTAAACATTTGTGGCGTAAGCAGTCACATGAACAAAGAGAAAAATAAAAAATCTTTCACTAAGTTGGACACAAACAGTCCCTCTTATCTACAATAGTCCCATGTGGTCACATGACTGGACAGCCACATGGCCTGTCTCTCTCTCCTCTCTCTCTCTCTCTCATGCGTGCACAGCTCAGTCTCAGCGTGCACACACGCACACAAGCACATACACACGCAGCTTTCTGACACCCCATGCTGCAAGAGGCCCAGGGAGAGGCCCATGGGCCAAGGACATGAGGGCAACGCCCGCAGACAGCCAGTGAGCAACTGAGGTGCTCGTCCTGCAACTGCAGGGAACTGTGAGCCGCTGAGAAGCACTGGAGCTGGGAAGTGGGTGCTTCCCAGGCAGGCCTTCAGGTGAGACTGAAGCCTGGGCAGCACTCTGATTCTAGCCTCATACCACCCCGAACAGAAGGCCCAGCTAAGCCATGCCTGGGCTCCTCAACCACAGAAACTGGGAGATGATACATGTGTGGAGTTTCAAGTTGCTGAGGTCGTGGTCTTTTGTTATGTAGCAGTAGCTGACTGATACAGATTTTTTAGCTGAGAGACACCTTGCTATAGAGTAAGACACAGTGAGAACAAAACAGGTTCACAGATTCTCTCCAATAAATCAGGTCACTCACTCCCGAAAACACAGGCACTTACAGTCACACTCATGCTGTTACATCACAAATATTCTGACCTTTAAACAACAATACCACCCACCCCTATGTTATTAAACACACAGACTGTCACATGCACATACCACCCCAGTGACAGACACACACACACACACACACACACAGGCACACACAGACACATATATAGACACATTGGCCCCTACACAGCCATTTGCACAAATGCACCATCCCATGGTCACCCCCAACCCTAGCCTGTCATTGTCAGACACAGTCCCACAAGTGTAGAGATATCTAGACATGTACACCAAAACACTCAGAATCTCATGGTTGCAGAGACACCCCAACTGCAAGACACAAGCCTTCCTGGGGTCCCCCTCTCAGGGGTACAGGTGGTGGGAGGAAGTGGGCTAGGCAGGGTTCTGCCTTACCCCTCTGGACAGGGCCCCAGGTACCCCACCCAGCACCCCAGACCCCTGCCTGGGGCTCAGTGGTGATGCGCTGTGCCAATCTTTGTAGGCCGTGTCCAGGAAAGCCCCCCATTTTCACACCGGGCAGTCCCCAAGTTGTGCTGTGGCCATCGGCCAGTCCTGGGCCTCCCTTACCTGCACCCCAGGCCCAGGCTGGGAGAGGAGTGGGGTTCTGGGCTGGCAGGGCACAGCTGCAGGCCCTGTGGTTATTGCCTGGTGGCCTGAGGTCCATCCTGCAAGCCACTCCCCCCCAACTGTGGAGACAGACATGAGAGGGGTGGTCCAGGACCTGGGGCAGGGAGCACAGACCAGAGGTCATGAGGGATGGAGGTGGGGAGTAGGAGGCGTGTATGTTTAACACCAAGTAGGAGAAAACGAAAGTTAAGGTTCCTGTGCATTTCAACTTGTCCCTCCCCAGCAAGGTCACAGTGATCTAATGGGTGGGGGCAGCACAGGTCTGGCTGGGGGCACCCAAGGGAAAGGACCAGAAATGGGGGTCCTGGGAGAAACAGAGACAGGCAGAGATGGGAAAATCCAGTGTCCTCGGTCCCCACAGGGACAGACAGCTTCCCCATTTCCCCATGTGCAGACCAAGGGGGCCATTTCTAGCACTTGGCTTTGGGGGGTACAGACAGGAGGGTGGGGCAGAGAGACAGCAGAAGGCAGAGGGGTGCACAGAGCTGGGTTGGAGCCCCAGACCCGCAGGGCTCACTAGGGCCTCAGAGTCCCCATCGGGGATGTTGGATGATGGCAGAGAAGTGGACGTGAGAGGGAGAGAGAGGAGGGGAATTGGGGAAGGATGGGGAGAGGAGGAAGGCAGTGGCTGCAGGATGGTGTGGGGAGAGGCATGGGGCCAGAACAGGGGCCAGGACAGGGGCTGTCTGCAGGGGGGCATCCCAGGCTCACATGAGGATGCATTTGCCCTTGATGCGGTCTGTCCTCTTCTGTTTGCTGGAGCGCTTTCCATCGATGTTGAGGCTCATGTTCCGGCGTGTCTCCAGTGTGAGCAGCTCCTGGAAGAGCTCCTTGACATTGTAGTTCATCTTGGCCGACGTCTCCATGAAGGCGCACTTCCACTCCTGGGCCACCGCCTGGGCCTCACGGGTGTCCACCTCTCGCTGCGTCTCATCACACTTGTTGCCCACCAGCATGACTGGGATGTCCTCCACGCTGCCCTTGATCTGCACGATGAGCTGGTAGATGGGCCCCAGCTCCTCTAGCGACTGCTTGCTGGTGACGGAGAAGACCAGGATGAAGGCATGGCCCTTGGAGATGGAGAGCCGCTGCATGGCCGGGAACTGGTGGCTGCCTGTGGTGTCGGTGATCTGCAGCGTGCACACGCTCTTGTCACAGCTGATCACCTGTCGGTAGGTGTCCTCAATGGTGGGGATGTAGGTGTCTCGAAACGTGCCCTTCACGAAGCGCAGCACCAGCGAGCTCTTGCCCACGCCACCCGCACCGAACACCACCACCCGGTAGTCATTACTCTGCTCAGGCATCTTCCACGCCGGGGGTGGAGGTCGGAGCCGGGAGGGCTCGTGCCAGCTGCCAGAACCCCAGGCCGACCCTGTACAGAGAGGAGTGGCAGATGCAAAAGGCCACCTGGCCTGGAGGGAACAGCTCTAGGCCTGGGGGCAGGAGGGAAGGCTTCTCAGAGGAGGTGGCCTTTCTCCTGTGTCCTGGGAAGGCCCTTCTGGTTGATTTGGCTGACTGTGCAGTTCTGCCCTGCATGCAGGCTCAGAGCCAGCCCCCTCTTCTGGTTTTCCCCTCAACAGAATCTGGGGCCTAAGCTCCTTCCCAGGGACTCTGGGCTGGAAGAGAAGTGAAGGTGACTCCTTGCCCCACATGCATGCTCGCCCAGCCACTCACCCAGGCTGCAGGGGCTTTTCCCTCTCTTCTCGGCTTAGCCGTGGGGTCCTGCCAGCCAGCAGGCCTGGATCCGTGGCCTGGGCAAGCTGCTAAGCCTCAGTTTCCCCCTCTGCAAAGTGGGTGACATGGTGCCTCGCTCCAAAAATCACAGGCTCCCTGCTCTCCCATCAGCCCAGAGGCTCCCTCAACCTTGTGGGACATCTTTAAAATGCAGCGTGCAGGGCCTCAGCCCTGGAAATGATCAATCAGCTGGCCAGGGCCGTGACCCTGGGCACCTGCATCTTAAAGCCATTCTCCTGCCCTCATGCTGTAAGCTTGATCCGAATGCTGGAGGCTCCAGAGCCCCAATGTGCAAATCATGACACTGATTCCCCACAGCAGCCCTGAAAGGCAGGGTTGCACAGCCAGGTTGGGGATGAGAAAATTAAAACTGAGGCCCAAGAGAAAAATACCTGCTCCCTAAACTCTGTACCCAGACCGTGGCCTGCCCGCCGTGGCCTCCCATTCAGGTCCAATATACCCATAGCCACAGGCACAAAGCTCCCCAGAGGGGGTTCTCTTATCATCTCTCCCTCTCCTGAGCTCAGAGCGGTCCATCAGCCTTGGGAAGTCACAACGCATAGCAATCCCTGCAGTGATGGAGGTGGCGGAGCCCTAGAAGGGGGATGGGAGCAGGAGGCCGGGCTCCAGCATCTGTATCCTTCTCTGTAAAGAGCAGGAGAGACCCATCCCTTCCCTCTTCCTCACTTCAGCCAAGTTCCTTTCCCCGGAGGTGTGTGTGTGTGTGTGTGTGTGTGTGTGTGTGTGTGTGTGTGTAAGACCCGATGATGTGAGCCTGGTGGCAGGAATGTGGGCAGGTAACTTGGTATCTTTGAGCCTCAGTTTTCTCTGTGAAACTCAGTGCCCACTCCCCAGAGTTGCAGGGAAGAGGGCGTGACAAGCTGGAGAAAGCCCTTAAGCAGGTGCTTGGCACAAGGAAACCTTCTATGAGGGTGGATGATCAGCATTATTGATCACAGGAGCTCAGAGTATGAAGCACTCGGCCTGTAGTGGGCTGGGAAGGCACGTTCTGAATGATCAAAAAGTACCAGGTTTGTCAGAAAAAAAGATATACAATAAAAGTAATAGCCGGCACATACTCCATCAATTATGTGCCAGCCAAACTTCCAGGAGCTTCAGCAGTACTAGCTCACGATTGACTGCTAGGCATGTTGGTGACATGTGTGGCAGTGCTCCACACGAGAGGACACTCGGTGGGGGGCTGGGAGGGGTGCCAGCCAGCTCTGCAGTCACTGCCCTTTCTGGATGGGTACACAGTGTGCAGCCAGGCACCACCACAACTGGCCTGGGGAGCTGGTGTGGCCAGTGACAATCAGTTGTGCTGCCCCACACCAGCCCTAGCTTTGCCCTGGGTGCAGACCCCCTGGCAGGGGTCCGGCCAGTCAGTAGGGTATCTCCAGAAGAGGCTCCTCTGGGGCCTGGGATCTCTGACTAGGAGCCCCCACTCAGTCACCGCTAGTCCATGCCAGGCACCCATTTGAAAGCCACCTTCACCTCCTGCAGGGCAGGAGTGGGGGAGGGGGTCTCAGGCACTGAGGGTTGGAGGGGGAGGCACTGGCTCAAGGTCACAGAGCAGGGAGGTGGCAGAGCAGAGCCGGATTTGAACTGGCCCTGTTTGGCCTCACAGCTGGGAGTCCCCCTCCTGTGCAAAGCAGCCCACCCTGAGACTCCCCAGGAGGGAATGGGCCCAGCCCTAGGTCCCCAGAGCCCAACGGGGGAAGTTGCAGCAACCTTAGGTGCAAGAAAGCAGGCTGGGCCCAGGGGAGGGCCTGGGGGAGGTACTTGCCTAAATTGGGGGGTGGGGTGGGGACTTATGAGAGGCTTGGTGGGAGAGGGCCTGCTCTAGGGGGCTGAGAGAGACACACTCAGGGGGGCCAGCCCAGGGGCCCCCCTTGGCCAGAGGAGGATCTAAGTAGTAAGGGAGGGAGCCAGGCCCGTGAAGGCTCCTGAGTGAGGGGCTTGACTGGGTGGAGAGGACAGGAGGGCTAGGCGGGCAGCGGTGGGGGAGACAGGCCCAGGGCCCGAGTGGCTCCCCGTGGAGGGGTCCTGGCTGAGCGGGACGGCCATCCCCGACAGCGGGTCTGAGGAGGGCTGGAGAGGGCTGGCTTGGCCGTGGGGGCGCCCGGTGGGTATCGTGGGGGAAGGGAGGACGCGGAGAGGGAGCTGTCCAAGGTGGGAGCGGAGGGCGGCCGGGGCAGGGCATAGTGGACTGGAGAGAGGTTCCGGTGCTGGGCCGGGCGAGAGGAGGGCCCGGCCCTCTCGGGCTTGGCCGGTAG